TCACATCCATATATCATAAACATTGATGACATGAATGCATTACACTATGCATCTCATACAACATGACTTTGCGTTTTAGCTGACATTTTACCCTTTTTAGGATAAGGTTAACAACTACCATTAACAATGTTCAAAGTTTTCAGACACAATACAGATACGCTCCAGACATGGAAGCCATTCTAATACTCATACAGAGCCTCTTCCAGATACAGTTCAGTTACGCTCCAGACACAGAAGCCATTCTGATACTCATTCAGAGCCTCTTTCAGATATAGTTCAGATACGCTCCAGACACGGATGCCATTCTGATACTCATTCAGATTCAGCTTTCAGATACAGTTCAGATACGCTCCAGACACAGACACCATTCTGATACTTATTTAGATTCAGCTTTTAGAATCAGTTCAGATACGCTCCAGACACGGACGCCATTCTGATACTTATGCAGATTCAGCTCTCAGATATAGTTCAGAAACGCTCCAGACAGGGATGCCATTCTGACACTCGTTCAGACTCAACTCTCAGATACAGTTCAGATACGCTCCAGACACGGAAGCCATTCTGATACTCATTCTTTCAGTTTACAAATTACAATTCAACAATCACTCTTGGATGGCATCTACAAGCCCATCTCCAAAAACTTTCTATCACCTCTCCAAATGGCATCTTTAAGCCCATTCTTTCTATCATCTCATCGCCGAGTGCAAATTTTTGGGCACTCTAGTGTCCAATCATCTTCCACCTTCGAGTCACGACTGGCAAAACATGTCAATCTAACTCTTCAGGGTTAAGAAGATTGAACAGGGGCAGCTGCTGTACCCTAAAATTTGCCCTCTCATTTATCTAGAATTTTCTCACAAGATCTCCTTGGGCTCAAAACTGCACTAGTGTTTGATCAGCTCAAGACACCTCCTCAAACACTGATGACTGCAAATTAGGGTTTGAGATTGAACAAGGACAAATGGAATTTTAATGCCCCACATGACTTTCATGGATCATTTTGGACCCTCAAGATTGCTCATGTCATGTTTCAAGTCTTGAATAACATTTTTGATCAGTCAATTGAGCAGTTGACCTAAAAATCAGTTGTATTAGGGGAAAAGTCAACTATGGCCAATTTACAGTCAAACTTCATAATTTTTGATCCACATTAACATTTTAAACTAATATGTATCATTTGATCAAGTTTGGACCACAATTCCTCAAGAAATTTGATCAAATCTCCAAAAGGGCAAAATGGTCAAAATTAGCGTTTTGACTGGGAAAGGGCAATTTCTGATTTTTGACCTAGCAAATGGTCAATTGGTTTAAGACATGATATCAAGAGTCCAATTTCACCATTTTTACCTAATGACATGGTTCAAAACATTGCTCAAGATCAATTGATTGACAGATGAATTTTTAGTCAACTGGTCAAAAGTCAACTGTACACTGAAAAGTCAAACTTTGACTTTTTGGTCAAAATCAAGTATCAAAGATTACAATTCATCAAAAAATGTCAAAATATGAAACTTATTCATCAAGAAATCAAGAAATCAAGATTTCATTTTGAAAAGTCAAAATTTCTAAACTTAGAAATTTTTCTAAGTGTAAAAAATTTCTTATATTTTCATAACTTTGAGCCATTTTTTCATTATGATGCAAGATGATTCAAAGGAAACTTCCAACATGAAAGTTGTGTATATCCATGAAATATATAACTTTGATTCACACAACTTATTCCAAAAGTGAATGGATCTCAAGTTATAATTTTATGAATACATGCTCATGAACTAAAAAAGACTTAGTGAAATTTTGCCCTAGTTAGGCAGATTTTTTGACCTAACTTCATGGCAATTTTTCACATAGTTACAAGGGTAATATTCAAATAAATTCAAATATGGGTTGTAGATCACATTTAAAGCTTTCCAAAATGTCCAAGAACTCCTTGAGATCATTCTTGAGTAGGGAGAATCGAAGAGATAAAATTAGTGTTTTGTCACTTGAATTACAAGGCATTTTGTGATGAACAAAAATCCAATTTCAAACCTATGCTGCACAATCTTGTTTTGAAGGCTTCTAAAACTCAAGATCTCTCCATAATCATAAGATTACACTTGCTTTTGGGCTATTATCCAAGTGTTCCAAGCATTGTCCAAGCCAATTTGCCATTTTTGGAAGAAAGTTACCATTCCACTCTTGAAAAGTTGCTTTAATCACAAAGTCAATTTGTCTTGAGCTTCTAACTTGTTATTTCTGCACACACAACCCCTATAATCCAAAAGCAAGGTGTCTAAGGCCTGAAGAATCTCAGGACATGCTTGTACAACATTTGATATTTGTCATTTCACTTTTCTTTAAAAGCAAGTTATATAGCCATAACCCTATAACTCAGAAGCTTGGAATGATTTTGTGCTGAGATCTTTTCCATACATATTAACAAGTCAATTGCAACACAACATACGTCTTCACAAGTCCTAAAACACTCCCAAGCATCTTGATGCACAGAACTTCCCAAACTTGACAGTTTTGAGCAAAAACTCACCATCTCCATTTCCACTCGTGCATTTTGAAAACTAATCATCCAAGCACCTTCCATACATCATATCAAAGTGATCCAGGCCCTCATTTCAAGAATGTAACCCCTCCATCACTATTCACCATTTTTAAACATCAAGCTTGTAGCTTGACTTGAGTATGGAGTTCCATCCATCCTCAAAGCAAAGTAGGAGTTGGAACACATTCAAGGAGGTCCAGGCAAGCTATAGAAATCATCAGGCCATCACAAAGGTTGCTCAAATTCCATACACGACTCCATCTGCAAGAGGTAAGTTTTCAAACTTCTATCTCTTCATACAGGCATCATTTGAGTTTGATTTGTGAAGATAAAATGTAGATACCATTGCCACGAAGCTGTACATATCCATAGTTTACATTTATATGGCATGAGCTTAGAGAATTTTAGGGTTGAAGTTTTCTGTAATTTTTAGGTTTTGATTTAGGGCTAGAAAAATTCTCGTTCATATTTGATTGTTAGCTTAAGTTGTTTATATGTTTGGATTCGTGGGAAAAAATGCCACAACTTTCATGTTTGAACTTTTCATTTTTGTTGAGAGATGAAGAAGATACATGTCCTTTGGCTGGAGGTTGAAGATGAAGTCTTCAGAACACGTTTTGCCTTACATATATATTGTTTCATTTGTATTAACGAATGTATAGCCACCACAGTGGTAAGGCAGCGCGCTGGTAATCAGGAGGTCATGGGTTCGAGCCTCAACGCGCGTTGCCTTTTGCTTTTTTTTCTCATTTTTACATTTTTTTGTTCTTTCCAGCGCGCGGGCCTTCCTCCTCCTAGGCCTCATTTTTTTCTAACATTCCTCCCCCCTATTTCATATTTGCACCCTGGCCCAATTTAATTTTATTTCTTCATTTTTTTATTTTTATTTATTTTCTCAAATATATTTTCTAAATAGAAAAAATGATAAAAATGCAGAAAAATGATATTTTATATTTTGACTTATTTCACTTTATTTTTCCATAAATAAAAATATTTTTTTATTCTTCATACTTTATTTATTTTTTTAAGTGAATCTTATAAACTTAATTAATATTATATTATTTATTTATTTTTCTTCACACCATTTAAAATATATTATTTTAATATAAAAAAGGGGACTAAAAATATTTTATAATACTACAAATATTTTCAAGATAAAAAATACCAAAGAATATATACTTTTCTTAAACTTATTTTCTTTTGATTAATTAATAGAATTAGGGTTTTATTTTAAAATCTTTTTTTCTTAATAAATTCAAACTTAATTAACTATTTTATTTATTTAAATTAGGTTAAGACAAAATCTTTTTTTCATGAAAAACCAAACAAAATTCATTTTTTTTCACATTTTGCATCCTTGCACATTTATTCACATTTTGTAATTAACTATTTTCTTTGTTGTATGGCTTTAAGGTCCTCATTTTCATTCAAGATTGAACCAATTGATTCTTTCATCAATCAGAATTTGTTTGAAGCTAGGGCTTTAATTCATGAACCCCTTTATCACCAAGCTCTAAGGTCATCCTCATCATGGGATTTTAAGCCATCAAGGTTCATCTCCAGGAAGCTTAGGGTTTTGTGATCACCATCATTACTCACACACTTCTAATAATTGCTCCTATCTACAAGGTATTCCTCAAGATATTTGCTTCAAGATCATTAGTCATCAAAATGAAGTGCCTTTGCAAAGTGAATTGCAAGATTTAAATCATGGTACAAAGGTGATGTTGTGGATGCGTAATATGATCAAAGCATTGTTATTATTTGTTGCTTCAATTTACAAGAGTTGGATTTAAGATGGAAATTAAGGGTTTTAGCAAGAAGGCGGGATTGATTTGGTTTGGTTCTAATGGGTTTGTTATCTAGAATCATTTGAGGTGCTACCTAATGTCATGGATTAAAGTTGTTTGAAGTTTCATTAAAAGAGTGCAAATTTGGACATGGGACTTTGCATGAACTTCATAGAATCACTTCTAAACTGAAAACTATTGGAGACCTTATACAAGAGTCCATGCTAATCACTTGTTGGTTTTCATCCTGTTTGTTGGTACTTATTCTAGTATTGCAAGAATTAGAAGAAAAATGGAAAATTAAAGTAAAGCATACGGAGGGAAAACGAATTCCAAACTTTGTTTGAAAAGAGAAGGACCATTGCATATTATATTCATGAGATCCATTACAATTTCAAGCTTCATTCAAATTGCATCCAAATTTGTTCAAAGCACCATGAAAGTATCAAGTTTCCATGGACATGGAAATCATTACAAGTCAACATTCAAAAACATTTATCAAAGAAGATTGGAAATACAAATTAGGAATTCAAGGAACATTACAAAAGGCATTTACATTAAAGTCTAATCATAAACCTAGCCTAATCCTTAATCTTTGTCTTCAATTTTCTTCATGGCCAAATGGGCTCCAAAGTTATGACTTCAATATCTATATGGATCCACAAGCATAAAATTCAGACTTGCAGAAGCACAACAATCAGAATCACTTCCATGCTACCACCTGCTACACGCCAGTCATGCCCTATACTGTGAACGACAGAAAGCTGCAACAGGAAATAAATCAGGACTTATGAAGCCATGAGATATGCGCAGGAAAAATGAAACCAACCCAAAATCTACCCAAAAATAGTACAGAAACATGTAAATAAACTGTAGCCCTGTGACATTGCATTATCCAAACAATTCATAACAGAAAGTTTATAAACCAAAAACATATACAAACAACTCAACAAAGAATTAACAGAGGTCCCCAACTAACTTCTAATCGCATTAGCAACTACCAACCAGTAACCCAACTGTAAAAGAAAAAAGTTTCTTAATTGTCACAACAGAAGTAACAAAAATTAATGTAACTAACTCTCACTCCTCTAACCATAACTAACTGTCAAAACTGACACATAACAGAATTCTTGAACTTTTTCTAGCAGAATTCCCTAACCTATTTCCATCCTTCCAAAACAACTTATACTAGAACCAACTTTCAACCATTTTCCCTAACATAATTTTCTAACCATAACCTCCTATCCCTCTAACAAACTTCATGCAAATAGAAAAAATGAAAGGGGGAAAATGATCCACAAGAAAAATCAGTAAAAAAAACTCACCACAAAATATGTTTCCTAGGGAGACCAGCGCTGACCGAATTGACCGCTATCCCCTCCACCGTCCATCTAAAGATGAAATTATACACGAGGAGGAGACACGTCGCCACCATCCACGGCGACATCTCAGCTGCTCGAAGATGTTTCAATGCAACTTCAAAGGGAGAGAGTACGGTCGACACCAGGGCCCGACCTGCTAAGAGAGCTGCTATTGCTCGACATGAGCCACTTCCCGTCAAGACAGAAGAACAAAGAGCTCCACCCAAGGTTGACTCCGTCTTGCTGGACACCCTCTTCGACAAAGATGAAGCACCCAAAACCGAATAGGAACTCCTCCGACCAATCTTAGAACGTTACTTTGAGTTCGTCCCCCTTGATGAAGACCTTCACAAAGGCGTGAAGATCGACACCAGACTCCCCGACCTTGCGAGGAAACAGATTAAAGCTTGCTTGAGGGGGAACACAAACCTGTTCATGTGGAGTGCTACGGAGATGCTCGGACTCGACCCTGAGGTCGCCTGTCACCACTTGGCCATTGATCTAGCCGCTAGGGAAATAGTACAACATAAACGTAGGCAGTCTCCCGAGAAAGCGGAGGCTGCTGAAAATGCTGTAAAAGACCTCATAAAGGATAATTTTATTTCCGAGGCCCGGTATTCAACCTGGATCTCAAGTGTTGTACTTGTTAAGAAAAATAATGGAAAATGGAGAATATGTGTTGATTATACTGATCTTAATCGGGCATGTCCCAAAGACGTTTTTCCTTTACCTAATATTGATATACTGGTCGATAATTCGGCCGACTATAAAATTTTATCATTTATGGACGCCAACTCGGGCTATAACCAAATCCCAATGATGATAAGCGACAAGCATTCCACTGCTTTCATGACCAGCTCGAGCAATTACTATTATAACGTAATGTCCTTCAACCTGAAAAACACAGGGGCAACTTACCAGCAGATGATGAATAAATTCTTCTGCAACGAGATCAGGGATATGCTCGAGGTATACATGGACGTCATGATTGTCAAATCTCAAGCAGATACTGACCATGCTGCCCATACCAAAAAGGTCTTTGCCCAAGCGAGACAATGCAAAATGAGGTTCAACCGTGAGAAATGCACATTCGGAGTTAAGGCGGGAAAATTCCTCGGTTTTTATTTGACATAACGAGGAATTGAATCCAACCCCGTCAAATTCCAGGCATTCTCTGAGCTCCTTACACCTAGCTCGAAGAAATCTATACAAGTCCTAAATGACATGCTCACCTTGCTCTCCCGATTTGTGGCGAAATCTGTGCAACACGCTCTTCCATTTTCAAACTTCTGTGTAAAGAGGAAGCCTTCGAGTGGACTAAGGAATGCAATCAAGCCCTCCTCCACCTCAACCAAAGCCTTTCACAACCACCCATGTTGTCTCAACCCGAAGACGGGGAAACCCTGTTCCTTTACTTGGCCATCTCCCCCAAGGCCGTAAGTGCGGCCCTCGTTCGTGAGACTCCAGACGGGCAGAAGCCAATGTATTTCACGAGCAAAGCACTTCAAGGGCCCAGGTCAAGTATCAGCAGATCGAGAAGGTGGAATTGGCCCTCATCAACACGACGAGGAGGCTTAGATATTACTTTCTGGCACACACGTTCATCGTACGAATAGACCAACCCGTAAAACAACTTCTATACCGACCAGACATGGCGGGTCGAATGCTAAAATAGTCCCTGGAGATCTCAGAATTTGACATCCAGTATGAGAGCAGGAAGGCCCAAGCACTGGCCGACTTTGTCACAGAGATGACCGCCCATGATCCCCCCCATAGGGAAGAAGCGCAAGTGGACCATGTTTGTGGATAGACCTTCCAGCTCGACAGGGAGCAGAGCTGGAATCCTCCTCGAGAACAAGGAAGGCGTCGTGATTGAACACCCTCCCACCCTTTCCTTTCCAATGTCGAACAATCAGGCTAAGTATGAGGCACTGCTCACGGGATTAAGACTAGTCGAGGATTTGGGTGCCCGAGAGATACAAACTTTCATTGACTTCCAACTTGTCGTATCTCAAGTTCAATGGGGATACCAGGCTAAGAACAATAGCCTCATTGAATATTTACACCTGGTCAGAGAACATATGAAGAAGTTTGACCGAGAAGAGATCACGCACGTGCCGCGCGAACAGAAGATGCTGGCCGATATACTTTTAAAGCTCGCAAGCACAAAGAAGAAAGGCGGGAACAAATTTATCATCCAAGAATCCCTTTCTCGATCGAGCATTGAAAAGTCTACTATGCCACCCGAGGTGAATGCCATCGATGACAGCTCATGTTGGATGACCCCAGTGTTCAACTTTTTGACAAAGGGGGAACTTCCCGTGGACTAAAGAGATGCAGCCGCGACCAAATGGAGAGCATGTTCGTACGTGGTACTCAAACACAAATTTACTGTCGGGGATTCTCCATCCCAGTCTTAAAATGTGTCGAAGAGTCCGCAATCCCAGAGATACTACGAGAAATCTATGAGGGAATCAACGCCCAACACATGGGTGGCAGATCCCTATCACGAAAGGCACTACGAGCAGGCTACTACTGGCCGACCATGCAACAAGACTCCAAGGATCATTCCAAGGAATGCAACAAGTGTCAGAGGCATGCGAACATGCACCTCGCGCCTCAGACGAGCTAAACACACTGTATTCCCCGTAGTCATTCACCTGGTGGGGAATGGACATCCTCGGACTTTCGTGCAAGGGACGTATCAAAACAAATTCCTGATCGTGGCTGTCGACTATTTCTTGAAATGGATAGAGGCCGAAGATCTGGAAAAAATCACTTCACACAACATCCTCTGTTTCTACAAACGAAACATGCTTGCTCAATTTGGGATACCACAAGCGCTCATCAATGACAACGGGACCCAGTTCACCGATCAAGGTTTCCAAAGCTTCATCTCCAAACTAGGCACCAAGCAACACCTTACCTCAGTCGAACACCCCCAAACCAACGGGCAAGCCGAGGCCGCAAATAGGGTCATCTTACAAGGTCTCAAAAAAAGGGTGGGTCTAGGAACTCCATAACATCCTATGGGCGTACCAAATAACACCCCACTTAACGACGAGCGAGACCCTGTTCCGACTGACCTATGGCACCAAGGTTGTCATCCCCGTAGAAATCTTGAAACCTTCTAGAAGAACTGAGGCCCCTCTGGACGAGGAACTAAACGACGAGGCTCTAAGAGAAGAGCTCAACCTAGTCGAAGAAATCCATTCAGGAGAAGCTCTTCGTGAGGCCACACTGAAACAACAGATAGCCCTTCTCCATGACCACAAAGTCATAAAGCGTGAATTCCAGCTCGACAGTCTAGTCCTACGGAGAAATAAAAAAGATTCTCGCAAAGGGAAGTTGGCAGTGAACTGGGAAGGACCATACCATGTCCATAGAGCAACGGGCACCGGGGCATACTACCTCGAACATTTAAATGGAGAACCACTACCTCGACTGTGGAACGCTACGAAACTGAAACAATATTACAGCTAAGTCCTTATCCTACTACAGGCATTAGTAGTCCACCAATCTTATCCAAATGACAACGGGACGAGCTCGACCACGTAGGCGTGTTAAGGTACAGACATGGCCTCCAAAATTCAACGCCGGTGAGTCGCTATTCATTCATCAAATAGAAACTTAGCCCAACAGGGACACCTCAATCAAGCTCTACTATCAAAGTACCCAACATGCAGAACACCCACCTCGCAATGGGCAGTTCACGCCACGAGCTTAAGATCCTGACCGCGATCTTGAGCTCGTTCCTTGGATCCCTACTCCACCCCCTCGACACATCCCAACATGTGTTGTCCACAACCAAGGTCGAGCATACATTTCCACTCATGGGAAATACAAATTTTCACAAAATAAACAAGTTAAAAAGCAACGACGAACATATAGCTAGCAAACATCAACAAAAATATAAAGGCATAACAGTAAAGTAAGAACATTTATAAATGTCTACCACGGAGGCCGACATTGTCTGAATAATACAATAAGTGCATGCGCGTAGGCCTTGAATACAAACAACAAAAATATCAGAAATATTAGTCACTTCGAGGAGTGCACGCTTCGACCTCCACTTCGGGGGAATCAGGAGGGGGGGACCACACGACCATCAATGACTTGGGACAATACCCCAAATTTGTCCTACCCTTTTATTGAATCATCTGGCTTACGCATTTCGTTCTCACTTCATCTGCATACCCTCCATTAGGTCAATTAACACCTCATGCATCATTAACCAATACATTTAGCACGGGATCAAGGATATCGAAGAATTAGGGTTGTTGTATGGATTTAAGGTCCTCATTTTCATTTAATCTTGAACCAACTGATTCTTTCATCAATCAGAATTTGTTTGAAGCTAGGGTTTTAATTCATGAACCCCTTTATCACCAAGCTACAAGGACATCTTCATCATGGGATTTTAAGCCATCAAGGTTCCTCTCCAGGAAGCTTAGGGTTTTGTGATCACCATCATTACTCACACGCTTCTAATTGCTCCTATCTACAAGATATTCCTCAAGACATTTGCTTCAAGATCATTAGTCATCAAAATGAGGTGCCTTTGCGAAGTGAATTGCGAGATTTAAATCATGGTACAAAGGTGATATTATGGATGCGTAATATGATCAAAGCATTATTATTATTTGTTGCTTCAATTTACAAGAGTTGGATTTAAGATGGAAATTAAGGGTTTTAGCAAGAAGGCGGGATTGATTTGGTTTGGTTCTAATGGGTTTGTTATCTAGAATCATTTGAGGTGCTACCTAATGTCATGGATTAAAGTTGTTTGAAGTTTCATTAGAAGAGTGCAGATTTGGACATAGGACTTTGCATGAACTTCATAGAATCACTTCTAAACTGAAAACTATTGGAGACCTTATACAAGAGTCCATGCTAAGCACTTGTTGGTTTTCATCCTGTTTGTTGGAACTTATTCTAGTATTGCAAGAATTAGAAGAAAAATGGAAAATTAAAGTAAAACATATGGAGGGAAAACGAATTCCAAACTTTGTTTGAAAAGAGAAGGACCATTGCATATTATATTCATGATATCCATTACAATTTCAAGCTTCATTCAAATTTCATCCAAATTTGTTCAAAGCACCATGAAAATATCAAGTTTCCATGGACATGGAAATCATTACAAGTCAACATTCAAAAACATTTATCAAAGAAGATTGGAAATACAAATGAGGCATTCAAGGAACATTACAAAAGGCATTTACATTAAAGTCTAATCATAAACCTAGCCTAATCCTTAATCTTTGTCTTCAATTTTCTTCATGGACAAATGGGCTCCAAAGTTACGACTTCAATATCTATATGGATCCACAAGCATCAAATTTAGACTTGCAGAAGCACAAAAATCAGAATCACCTCCATGCTGCCACCTGCTACACGCCAGTCATGCCCTATACTGTGAACAACAGAAAGCTGCAACAGGAAATATAAATCAGGACTTGTGAAGCCATGAGATATGTGCAGGAAAAATGAAACCAGCCCAGAATCTACCCAAAAATAGCACATAAACCTACAAATAAACCGCAACCCTGCGACATTGCATTATCTAAACAATTCATGACAAAATGTTTATAAACCAAAAACATATACAAACAACTCAACAAAGAATTAACAGAAATCCCCAACTAACTTCTTATCGCATTAACAACTACCAACCGGTAACCCAACTGTAAAAGAAAAAAGCTTCTTAATTGTCACAAAAGAAGTAACAAAACAGAATGTAACTAACTCTCACTCCTCTAACCATAACTAACTGTCAAAACTGACACGTAACAGAACTCTTGAACTTTTTCTAGCAGAATTTCCTAACCTTCCAAAACAGCTTATACCAGAATAAACTTTCAACCATTTTCCCTAACATAATTCTCTAACTATAACCTCCTAACCCTCTAACAAACTTCCAGCAAACAGAAAAAAATGAAAGGGGGAAAATGATCCACGAGAAAAATCAGTAAAAAAAACTCACCATAAAATCTGAAGACTCTCTCAATCTTGAAGCCTCTGCAACGAGTCTCCATCTCCATAACCGAAACTGCTGCTTCTGAAACCTTCATCATTCTTTGTTTCATTTTCTGTAATTCCTTTCGCGACTTGAAAAGAATCCAAAAACTACAACTATTGCAATAGTCTTCATCTCCCTGCATCAAACAACAACAAAATTTCATCATCTACATGAACAATTCAAGAACAACAGCAACACAGATACATAATCTCTCAATCACGTATAGAAGAGAAATCTGAATCAGGAGAAGAAGGGGTGAGAAGAGGAAATGGAGATACCTAGCAACCGAAGCTTAAATCGTCACCGAGAGACTCGTCGTTACCATCGCCTTTTTTTCCGGCAAATCATCTCTTCTATCAAGATTCTACCAACTTTCTTGACAACACAATGTGGCCTTCGATTCCCTGAGTATTTTCCCCATGAATCTGGCTTGGGCGTGTTCGTCATCGCATCCTTATTTTGGTTCCAAGGTTATTTAGGGTCTGTTGTGAGTTTAGATTAGAAGGATTCGGCGAGGAATTGGAGAAGACAGGTTTCAGATTTGGAAAGGGGATAATGGTAAGTGCAGATGATAAGGCCGAGAATGGCGAAGAGGAAGCAGTAAAAGAAAGTAGAAGAGGAATATCAGGTCTTATTTCGCGATTTCTCCGCGGTGGTGGGGAGCAGGTTGAAATAGACTGAGACAAAGGTGAACGACGGAGCTTTGAAGTGGAATCAGGATTGGAAGAAGCACGCGCCAATTTGGTTTGAGAGAAGAAGATGATTCAATATGTGGAACCTCAATGGTAATGTTGGAGGTGATTAGGATGTTGATCTGGATTGAAAACTACAAGGATCATGGGCCGAGATTGCCTTGCATTGGGCCTGATTTTCTGAAGTTAAGCATTGAACAAAAAATGATGAATTAGGATTCCAGTCTGGGCCATCCATCTGGGCTTGCTAGTTGCACACTAGTATAAAGCTTACACCCCCTATATTGGTTATTTTGATTTCATTTCAATAGGTTCTTTCAATTTTTATTTTCATTATTTTGATAATATAAATTGTGATAAGGATGCCATGACTAACATAGTAAAAACTGTAGGATTTTATTACAATTATATGGATATGGTTGAATAAAAGAGATTTGGTGGAAGAGCTTCAAGAATTTACGAATTAAATTAAGAGCCTAATCTTCGTCAAGTGAATTCGAAGAAGCTTTTGGTAGAGTTTTCTTATTGCTGGCATGGTTTTGAAGAGGCAACGAACCTTCTCCGTTAGGTATCATCACAACTTCGTTTTATTCCTCATTTCCGCATTTTAGCGTATCTCTTTACCGCTTTTCTAGAGATCATGAGAAGTAAGGCTTTAATTCTTTCTGATGCCATGAGAAGTATGGTAGAGATGTATGACGGGGGTCTCCGTTGCTAATCATATCAAGAACCCCTCTAGTTTATTTAAATACCTGTTTAGGGCGATTCCGCATTGTGTGCATTCTGTTTGCTATTTGTGGTTGTTTAAAACCCTACCTTTGTGTAGGTATTTTGCAGGTGTGTTTACATTTGTGCCCGCATTATTCCCTCATTCCTTAATGAAGTCCTTAAAAGTAGGCGAGCAGGGAGGGTTCATAATCAACCCCCGTAATTTCTTCTGTGTCATCCTTAGCTCATGGCGTACCATGATGCTTCGGAGTTGTGCCAACTCTTGTGTATCGAGTCGTCAAGTGGGGAGGGGTTCTGCAATTGAACCCTTACGCTTTGTCAGGAGTTTGCATTGGCCGATGCTGATACTCCGTGATCGTTCATATTGGCTTTTGTTTCCTACCTCGATCTCCTATATCTTGGTTAGGTGTTCAGTCGCTTTGGATATCATATTTTTGTTTTACATCTCATTCTCGCTTGTTTGTCTCAGGTGATACGCTCCCCTTGGCTAAAGCGTTTCTCTTCTTTTCCTTACTATTTTATGTGTGTGCTCTTCCGAGCTTGCTTGTTTTATCCTTGAACATACCATGTTCCCTTAGGATGTGCTTGCCCCCTTCGGATGCAAGTTAGACCTTAGGTTGTAAACCATGCATGCTAACATCAGGTAGATATTTCCCTTTTGTTAATCCAAATATTAGGACCACCATTGTATAATAACATTAGGTTGGAAATAGGCTAGTATCCCTTAGACCATTTTCTTCCCTTTTTGCATATGAATCTAAAACTAAAACCTTTCTTAGCTAATAAAAAACATGCTAATCACACTTAAATCTTTTTTCAAGGTAACAAAATACAAACCAATCAAATGTGGTATCTTACCTCGAGGGTGTAACTTGAAACCATTTTCAAGAAAGGACATGATTAATTTACTTTTGTTCCAACGCGTAAGTCTCCAAGGGTCAAGCTGCGGAAGAAGGCAGAATTAACATTGTCCATAAAAAATGCAAACAAACAAAAACATGTTAGCCAAACTACGATAGCTCTGATTCCTTAAAAAGGATACGTCGGCATTAGGGTAGGGCCCAAGCGAGTATAATTATATTTTCCCTATATTCTTTTCTCCTTTCTTTTGCATGCATTCTCCCTTTAGAAGTAGTAAACAGTAAGCATAGATTAAACATACCCATAAGATAGATAACAAGAGTGGACACTGAGGAAGTGAAAAAAACAAGAGGGGAAGGGGGGGGGGGGGGGGGGGTTGAATTGAAAATTTAAAATCAAACGCGCAAAGACACAATATTTTTATCCTGCTTCGTTTGATCTCAAACTACTCCAGTCCAGCCGTCAAGGTGATTTCATCTCTCTCCAACGAGGACTTAATTCACTAACCAAAAACTGATTACAATCACTACTTTGACAACTGTCAAAGTCCTCTTGAGTACAACCATAATCCGGCCAATCTCAAGGAAAAACTGGCTTAATCAAGATAAAAGAATTCTGTGTATCGTTGTTTTTCTTTACAAAAACAATTATCAAAACTATGATATATTACACAATTTTGAGCGTAGAAAAAGTATGTAAGCTTGCAGCGTTTAGAGATGTATTGCCATTGTGTTGAAAAATCGTGAATGATTTGTCCTTGTTGTACCCCAAAATTTGCCCTCTCATTTTTCACAAGAAATCACAGCTCCGGGCTTTCCCTGATTTTTCAGATTGGCTCAAAGAATCAGTTAAACAGACTTTTCTTATCAGTCTATCCAAAATTAGGGTTTCCATTGATTTTGAATCAGTCCAAGCAGATTATTAGGGTTTCTATTGATTTGGTTGAGTTTGGCTCAGGGTTTGATCAAGCAGACGTTTCTTTGATAATAAATCCAAAATTAGGGTTTGCACGCACATTCTCAGAAGAATTTGAATCTACAGTGTCGTAATTGACTGTCACACTGCTTTGATGCTTGTTCAAGATTGCTGTTTGTTTCTAAAAGCCTAAACATATGGGATAGAAGTTGAGGCTTCTGATTGAAAGTTTGAAGCGTTAGTTTGATCAGTGAGGTAAAAGGCGTATAAACGTCTATTTGTTTAACTGTGCAATGCATTTGGTTATTTGGAATGTCGGGCTTATTGTTGGTTAATGCAAGATTGTGAGACTACAACGTTTATTGATTATTTATTTTATCTAAGTTAAAATAATTGGGACGCATTTCCAGTCATTTTAATTCAAGAAATTTAAATAATTAAATAAACAGTGAAACAAATAAATATCTGACAAAGGATTTTTATTTATTTTAATTATTGTTACAAATGTTATTGGGATATTGTAAATTTATTTACAATATTTACAATGATGTTTATTACAAATAATTGAACAAAAATTAAATCTACATCCTAAGTTTCTTGAAGTCTTCATCTTCTACTGCTGCATCCCTTGCCCCAATTGATAATTACCTGCAAAGACGGAGAAAGGAATCAGTACAGATGAATTAAAAAGGCATTCTCAGACAGATAAGCAAAAACTCATCATTAAAGGTTGTTGGCCGGAATCAGTTTGTTTTGGTTTTCATCATATTTTGCTCGTCCTCTTTGCAAATCGCAAGAAGATTTCTCTTCTTGGTTCACAAAGAGGAAAAGTAAAATTATTTTTCAAGCATATAAACCAATTAAAAAAGAAGGCACAAGACTGCATATTTTGCAAGAGACAAGAAGGCACAAGTTGCAATGGCATACAAAATACACAAAGCTGCATAAGTGCAAACTGAAATGCCAAACAAATTGCAAAGTTCAAACTGAACGAACAAATTGCAAAGTTCAAACTGAACAAACAAGTTGCACAAGTTCAAACTGTCAACCAAGCTGTAACTGTCAACCAAGCTGTCAAAAACTGTCAACTAAGCTATCAAAGCAGAAAAGCTACATACAAGTACATAAAAATGGCAATGCAGAAAATATGGAAGATAAGACAAAATGCAGAGCAAAACCAAGTTGCAAGCAAGCAACTTGTAAAACCTTTTCATCATTTTCAAGCCAACGACCTTTTCAGAAAAAAGATATTCTAAGCAATAAAATATGCTTTCTGGAGAGAGAGAAAGAGAGTGAAGCTAGGCTATGCAGAGCAGGCTTAAAGATATAGATAAATATAACAAGAGTTCAGTTCAGAAAGAGGGGGAGAACACAAAGAAAAAAGGCCACAAACTGAGGTGCAAGCAAGCCTGCCTGTACCAGTTACAAACCTGTTAAAACCTCCAAAACAACAAAAAAATATCAAGAAGCCTGTATCAGTAACCTGCTTCAAGCTTGCCTGCTGTACCAGTTACAAACCTGTTCAAACACCAAACTTACAGAAGCAAGCCTTCAAGCAAATACCTGTTAAGTTACAAACTGAACAAGCTTGCCTAAAGCAAACTGCATCAGTTACATACCAGAAGCAAACCAGCACAACAAGCCTGCTTCAAGCCAACCTGCATAACCTTTAGCCCTGTCAAAAACTACACAAACATATAACCTGCTAAAGCCCTCAATAAACCTGTTTCAAGTTTGCAAACCACAGAAGCGCAAGCCTGCATGTACCAAACTTGTCTTAAAAGAAGAACAAGGTAGCAAGTCCAAACATCTAAATCAGAAGCAAAAGCATCTCAGAAATCATCAACATCAAAATCAAAGTTCAAGGGAG